CCCGGCGGTCAGCAACCCCAGCCACCCTCCTGCTACATTCCTGCACTGTTCCAGGGGCAAGCCAGGCTGTTCCCAGGTGGTCCCAGGTGTCCTGCCTTCAGCAGACACCTGTGGCCACTAGGACAATCATGTATATACAGTGACAGAAATTGAAATGGTGAGGTTTCAATTAAGAACTCAACGTTTCAGTTTAGGGGGCACAGAATGCAACCTGAAGGACTAAACCTCCATTACGTGTACAAGCGCTTGGCGCGGCGTGGTGTGGGGGGGGGGGGGGAAGACGGGGGACAGACATGCCTCCCTGACTCAAGAGGCACCAGTCACCTATACTGGTGGTAGAGCCCGCCGTGGCAGCAGGCACCTCTCAGGGGCAGGTAGCAATCTCCTGCCCAGCTGACCAGAAGCGCATTTGCTACTGGTCAGGCGTCCATACATGTGCTACTGCACAGTAATCTTGAGTAAATTTGCTACTTGCATTTGTAGGTAGCAAATTTACTCAAGATTAGAGCCAATTACTGTGCAGTAAGCATTTGCACAGTGAATGGGGCCCCAGCTGGGACGGGTTGTGGGACAATCGGAGCCTGGCAGCTCCTTTAGAGGCATGGGCGAGCGGCTGTCGCTGCTGTGTGCACCACGGGGGAACCAAAAGAGGGGGGGGGGGCACATGCCCCCCCAATGCCACACCCCTGGAGAAGCAGGCCAGAGGCAGGAGCAAATGATTTGCCTCTCCCCCTGCCTCACTCCCTCCTGCACTGTGGGGAGCTCTTCCCAGCAGGGAAGTGGGGTCAGGCTGCACTATGGTGGGGGCTGCAGCCACCCCAAAATTCACTGTAGCCCCCCCAACCCTATTCCAGTCAGCCTGGCCCAACACCCCTGCCAGGAACAACCTGGCACTGCCCCGGCCCCAGCCCACAGCCTTCCCTGCCCCACGTGCTGATCCAGGGGCACATGCCCCTGTGCCCTCCCTGGGGTGTGCACAGTGGTGGCGCTGGGGGTGGGGGCTGAATGAAAGCAGGGCTTGCATGTGGTGGCTGCCACCCCGCTTGGCCACATGCTGGCCTGCTTTGCTATGGCTGGTCGTGGCTCTGCAGGCTAGTGACAGGCCTTGCATCCAGCTAATTGTGTGCTGCCGGGGGTGGGCACAACCCCAACCTGGCCATTCAGATGGGTGGGGAGGTGCCGCAATATGCCATGTGGAGCTGGGCAGGTGCCACGATGTGATGTGTGGAGCCGGTGCTGTCAGGCACATCCTTCTTCTTTCCCCTCCCCTGGGTAAGAGGCGAATGTGCCAGGGGAGATGCCACCGCCACGCTCTGTCCCTACCCGCCTGCATGTACCCCCTATGACCCAAGTACCCCTGGGGATATGCATCCCCTGAGTTGACAACCCCTGGCCTAAACTATAATTTGGACTGGTGGGATCTAAGTAAAACAGAGGAAGGCTCTATCCAGAAGGCTGTCCTTTGTGCTGAAGACTCTGGAAGCAGCTACAGCCATTGATTCCTTTCTGAAGAACTGCAGTCTCAGGGCAGCTTTAAGGAGCTGAGGCAACTGAGACAGAAATTGCCAAGAGCAGTAGCTTCATTGGGGGACTTTGGAGAAGGTCTTCCTACCAAGCTCCAGCATTATTTCAGTTGATGGGGTGGTCCCCCGAACCACATGCTCTTAAGGAAGAGAGAGAGAGCTGCCCAAAACTGGGACTCCTCCAGACCTGGATCCAAATTGTGAGTGGAGAGGAGGGCTGGGTTCAAGGAGATACAGACAATAGCTGCAGGGCGAGCTGGATTTATGCCTGCTGCCAAAGCACCTTGGGGCTTTTCAAAGTTTATATCATACTTCCCTCTCTCCCCCTTGGTTTTTGGTATTAAACCCTTGGACTCATTGCTTATGATACTCACTCAGACAGCATAATTCAGTTTGGCAGGTTCCTGGGTCAAGCCAGTGGTGTTTGAGCTTTTAAACAGGAATCCCTAAACCAGTAGCTCCCAATCTTTTGGAGGCTGTAACTCTAATTCCAGGGTGAGCCTGTCTGTGGGGCTCACAACCCCATTCCTAAGTCCTGTGGGAGCTTCCCTAGACACTGGAATCCAGCTGTTTTCACTGCCAAACAGCACTTGGCAGACAGGTTATATCTATTTTCTTCCTGACCACAGTTTTTTTAGATAAACCCTTTGGGCGCTTGTACATGTGACAATGTCATGTGGCTTAATGGCATCACACATTACACGCACCTGAGCTTTGTGGGTTTTACATGACCTTGCATCATTGCAAACTAAACAGCATCCCGATGTAGTTTAGTTTGCAATGTTGCATTTTGGAATGTTGCGGCTATTAGTCAGCTCACCCCCTGGCTGTGGGAGAGGTGGGCAGGCTCCATGGAAAAAAAGACATGAGGTCCCTCACCACTTCTGCCTTCAGCAAGCTCCTGCGGCCAGCAGGACGCCTGGGACCACCCAGGATCAGGTTGGCTTGCTCCTGGGGCAGTGCGGGAAGGTGGCAGGAGGGCAGTTGGGTTTGCTGGCAGCCGGAGAAGGCAGTGGGGACAGTGTGCAGGGTGCTGGAAGCCCAGGCAGGCTGCTAGCTGGCTAAGTGCTCCCCCAGCTTGGAGGTGCCTAATCCAATGCTTCCCCGAGCCCACCCAGGGTTCCAGCACCCCATGCACTGTTCCCGCCAACTTCTCTGGCCACCAGTACACTTAGCTGCCCTCCTGCTGCCTCCCCACATTACCCCATGGGCAAGCTGGGTGTGTTGACAGCCAGAGAAGGTGGAGGGGATGGTGCACGGGGCACTGGAACCCCAGAAGAGCTCAGGGAAGCGTTGGATTGGGCGCCTTTGAGCTGGGGCAGCACCCAGCCAGCTAGCAGCCCACCTGGGCTTCCAGCACCCACGCACCATCCCTGCCGCCTTCTCCGGCTGTCAGCAAACCCAGCCACCCTCCTGCTACATTCCTGCACTGTTCCAGGGGCAAGCCAGCCTGTTCCCAGGTGGTCCCAGGTGTCCTGCCTTCAGCAGGCACCTGTGGCCACTAGGACAATCACGTATATACGGTGACAGAAATTGAAATGGTGAGGTTTCAATTAAGAACTCACTGTTTCAATTTAGGGGGCATAGAATGCAACCTGAAGGACTAAACCTCCATTACGTGTACAAGTGCCTTTGTGCCTAGCCCAAGGTCACACTGGGAGTCTGAGACAGAGAGAAGAACTAAGTCCAGATCTCTTTATGTCCTAGGTTCATAACACAACCATTGCACCAATCCTCTTCTCAAGCCCTTGTTCTTTGTGCAATGTGCCCATGGACATCATCTTGGAAACAGGGAACCTTGGCACTGTAGCCCAGGCCCAGGGGCTATAACTGGAAAGGGGGATACTGCTCTCTGTACAGAATGAGGCTTACAGTGCTGCAGTAGAGCAAAAAACCTTGATTCAAAGTCTTGAGTGAAGGGCTTACAGCACTATGGCTATTCACCTGTTGAAGGATGGTTACAAAGGAAATCTGATTTACTGCTGACAGAGGTTAAAGCAAAAAGATTTTCACAAGGAAATCCAGACTGACCCTCCTACCTCACCCAGCCCAGGGCCCTTGCTCTATTCTGGTGGAGGCCCCTGCTGTTTGGCAAAGTTTTACCAGCCTCCCGACTGGCTGCAGTAGTAGATTTGCATGCAAATTCCCTCTGAAACTTTTAATCAGTTTCCCCCACAAAAGATCAGCTGCATGCAATTAATTGCTGCAGGGGATGAATGAATGCTACCTTCCACCCCTCGAAAAGATGTTTGATTTACTTGGAATAAAGGGCTATAAACAACCCAACACACCAGAGCTCTGCACAGCCAAAGCAGGAAAGATTATATTCAGCTCCCGAAGAACAGATACGAACTGCACGGTCTGATAAAGCAGCTTAAGCATGCAAGCCAAGAGCAAGGCAGGGAGAGCGGACCTGAGCAAAACGAAGAGCCAGGGAAAAACAAAGGAACAGATGTGGCAGCAATGCTGTGCAGAGAGGGAAGGTCACAGCTCACTCCCCTCAAGGAGCTGCATGGGCTCACTGGAGGGAAGCTGCCAGGTGAAGGAACCAGAAGCAGGGTGGGGTCTACAGAGTGATCTGGAGGATGGCAGCCAGCAGTGAATCTTGTAACAGTTGCCACCTATGGCACAGACTGCCCAACCTAGGACTGCAGCTGTGGAAATGGTCTCTCCAACAGTTTTCACGTGCATTAGAGAAGGCACGAAGGAAAGAGGGCAGTGGGTGGCTTCGCATTTGCTAACCAAGCCAGGGAAACAGCTGGGAACGGCAGGTAGAAGAGTGTGATGTGAGGCACAATAGGCTGAATCTGCCCATCCTGATGCTGGGGGCAGGATGCAAATAGACAACAAGAGGAAGCTACCACATGGGGGAGGTAGGTAAACGTACCCAATGGCATATCTGCCCAGCAGCGGAGGAGACGAGTCCCAACTGCAGGCCACTGTACTTGCTACTGGGCAGATTAACACCCTGTCGTAAATGGATGCAACTTCCCTGCAGTCAATGGAAGTGCAATTGATTAGTGCCAAGCTAGACCTTTCCTGTTCTAGCAAACTCAAGCTAGTTTAGTGAAACATGTTTAAATCTCAATCTAGATAAAACTGCAGCTCTCTAAAGTGGATGCCATTAAATTCACTTTGCTTGTATTTACATTGATTTAGATGGCATCCAGTACAAAGTAACAAAAGTGAAGGTGAAACCGGTGTAAGCATGTTTACATTAGGGGTTTCCAGCAATTTAACTAGATCAGTTTCTATATTGATTTTGCTAAAGCAGCATATTTTTCTTGTTAGAGAAGGCCTTAGCTTTACTGGAACTAAGCAGCATGACATTTATTTACTCCAGCTTCCCTTGGAAAAGAACAATCCCCTGAGGGGCCCCTATTTCCTGTGGAGTTGAGAAGCTGCTTGCACTGTTGTTGTGTTGCAGAAATGCCAATGAAAGATCAGTGATTTGCCCCTCCACTCCCTATCTCTTTCCCTGCCTTACACCTACCCTCCTTCTGGATGGCTCACTTTCGGGCAGTGCAAGGGAAGAACAAGCCTTCTTCCTCCCCTCAACATAACCCAATGATGGCTGATGCTACAGAACTAACTCACATGTCTGGCCTCCACAGTCACCCCTGTGAATAAGGATAGTATACCCATATCACAGCTGTGGAACTGAGGCACAAGGTAGATTAAGTGACCTGCCCAAGGTCATATAGCACAAGCCAGGAACTGAACTGAGGTTTCACAGACTAGTACTATAGCTGCTAACTCACCCTTCTGGCAGCCCCCTTAGCAGTAGACACACTGAGGGGGGCAGTGAGGAGATAGAAGAGGCAGGGCAAAGTACCTCAGTTGCTTCATTACAGGGCAGCCATTGCTCTGGTGCTAGCAGCCCCTCCACTATGCTGCCCTCAACAGAAGCCCAACCCAATAGAAACCAGGTGCTGTGGAGGAGCCTGGCTTACAGGCCCCCTTTGAGAAGAAGCATAGTTTCCTTCTTGTCTCTTCACTCTCTCAAACACACACAAAATAGAATCATTAATTTGCTAAGCCCTTCTTACCAACCACCAGCCAGTTCCCCTGAATGCAACTTACTGCAGAGTTGAACCGGAGGTGGCAAATGTTGCAGGAGATGAACTGCTTCTTTTTGAGCGGGGAGGGCACCCCAAAGGTGTGATTGATCACTGCCTTCTGCACAGGATCCATCTGCAAGAAAGGGAGGGGATGTGGTTAGTTGGTGACTAATGCTCTGCTTCAGAAGGTGGATAAACAAACAACCTTTGGCCTGGCCTGGGACCAGTGTATACTGCACTTGCAAGAAAAGGTCCTGGAGAATCACTGCTGAGCATGTCCCACAATTATTTGTTTCCTCTGTTACCACTGGTGAAAACCATCAACACTTAACACATGGTTTCTTGCTCTGCTTTGGCATTAGCTTCCATCTCCTCTAGAAGAAGGAACACAGAACTTTGGAGCCAGGAGGTAAGACAACATTTCAGTTCTCATTCAGGCAGAAGGTCTGATATAAACTTCTCCACGTTATTTGGACACAAGCCAGACACATTCCCCACAGAGTACTACACAGTACAAAGACGCCAAGCCATCTGATGCCTAATCATGCTATTAATGATGGGAGCCACAAAGTGGTGCTGTCTTACAGCCCCTTTCCTTACTGTGCAAGCAGCTGGCAGTCCTTGAAGAAAGGCTGCATTGTAGTTAGTTTTGTGATTTGGTTCTGATAGGGGGGCTGTTGCAAGCAGCAAGAGGACTTAGTACCCAACCTAATCTCTCTAATCAAAGTCAATTCTTTCTTTTGGGGAACTGGGGGTTGGTGTGACCCGAGGTTCACCAGCTTGGTGTTCATAACTGTCTGCTGAAGAGCTACTGTACAAAATGTGAGCAAAATATGTTATACTAATAATACACCTGACTCTGTCCATGTTTTTATCCTCTTTTACTGAAAAACTCAATCTGTGGGATCCCAATATTTGCACTGCTTGGCAGAGTAAACTATGGTTTTTCTCTCTGCTTCTGATCTCTGTTTTGCTCTTTCCTATCTGCTGAGGGATAAGTAACTCCACCACCTTCTGCCAGGGAGAAACAATCATATCTATTAATCTTTTTCATCATCTCATCCACTCTCAAAGCACTTAAAAGCAACACTTGCTCTAGGTGAGGGCTAGGAGTCAATGCCCCTTTTTAACAGGCGAGACAAACAGAAATAACACAGGACATAGAAGTTCCAGCATCTTGTTCCCCAGTGAACAACTCAGAGATAGACCCAGGGAGTGCTTTGAGACTTCCTCTGTCTCTAACCCTCTCTCTCTTCACAACAGTTACCAATATCATGGATGACAAATGATCAGTTTCCATTAGAGGTCCCCAGCTGTCATGCTCAAGAGCCCCAATGAACAGGAGTATTTTCAAGTGACACAGCAGGAACTGCACCCATCACATTAAGGAAAGACAGTTACATTGTCTGAAGATGGTTTTTAAAAAAGAGTCACCAGCCATTAACCCTTTGTTTGCTATTCATCAGCAACTAAAATCCACCTCAATGAGGGCTGGAAGGGGCCTTATCAGCACTAGCTTACAGGGTGCCTATGTCCTCTGCCCTGCAGTGAATGTCACCGTACTACTAACACACTCCTTCAGAAGGGCACTTCTGAAGGCGGCCATTGGAATCTACATTAAATCACTAACATGCTGGAGAACAGACTGCAGGCATCCTTATATTCCCACCAAGCTGGATTTGTGGTTCAGCTCCTTGTCTGTAAAATGACTGCAAAAATCCTGCCTTCCTGCCACTCAGTTTAGATTCTGAGTTCATTTGGGCAGACTCTGGTTCTTGTTAGCGCTAGCACACTGATGCTCCAGTCTCAGTTGGTGCCTGGAACACAGTAAGCAATCTATTTTGCATGCTGTATCAAATTAGTCGAGAATGGGGTGGCAGAGGGGTTAAGGCCTCTCAATACAGCTGTAGAAGGGTAAGCTGGATCCTCATGCTCTCAGTTTGTACCAAAGCCCACTCCCAGTCAACCCAGCTGTAAATGGGGAGCTGGTCATTTGAGTTGGGGAGTCAGGGGCAGCTGGATGTGATGCTGACCACACTGTTCTCTCGGGAGCCTTTGGCTACAGAAATTGCTTTATCTAGGCAAGCCCTTCAATCAAACTATTACCATGACTATTTTGTAATGTTTTTTGATTAGCTGATGAATTTCCAGCACCGTTAGTATTTCACAGGGCGCACACGCTCGTTATGTTGACATTTCGAACAACTCCAGCAATTTGCAGTGAGCTGTGTCTTTCCTCAAAGGGCAGAGTGCAGAGGTTCTGAGGCAAGGCAGATGCAAGAAGACAAATGACAGCCTCTGGTGGGTCTGTCTCTTCCTAATGCTCACCCTCATCTTATTCTTCAGCCATAGCAGCAAACTTGTTCAAAAAGCCATAATTGTTTTAAACAAAATGCATTTATTAAGGGGGGAAAATAAGAATAACCTCTTTGTTTGAGTGCAGCTATAATCTATAATGCAAGTATTGTTCGCTTACCCTGTGGCATAGGAAGATTATCTTATCTGAGTCTTGCTGTCAGTAGAGCCTTGGGTTTTTAGGCGATCGTATTTCTCTGCAAAGCTATTTAGTTGCCGAGACAGGTGCATCAGTCTTTAAGGCACATGCCTGGACAACAGAGCCATTATCAAGACCCCAAATTCCATTCCAGAAGTGAGTAGAATGGTAATATCGAGTGATTAATGAAGTGCCTGTTTGCTATGAAATTTTACTCACTTATCTGGAATATAAATGAAGAGGCTTTCAGTTGCTGATGGGGCATGAGGCATCTAGTAATGACAAAGATGCCACCCCACCCTTGACAACAAACGTGGCAATGCATTATAGGCATCATCCATGTACAGCAAATCTGCACACACAAGAACAGGGCTGGCCTTTGTTTCAGGAAACACCCAACCTATCAGGGCATAAATGAGAGAAGTCTCTCTCAGCTCTGCAGCCATGCGCCAGGATGCTGAGTCCATCTCGCCCACTCTCCCACTGGAACAGAGAGTTAATTTTAATTGACAAACGCTGTCGTGAAACAGCTCTTTGGATTTTAAAGAGCTCATCCTTCATGTCGAGTAGCTCAGGAGAGAGCAGGAGCCAGAGAAGTCCGGAGGAAAATGGAGTGGAACATACAAGCATTGGAGGCTGTCACGGGTAGCCTGAGAAAATCCTGACCCTGGGTCCACCAAGAAATGGCTGGGTGGGGAGAACTTAAGGAAGTATGGGTAGGCAGAAGATAACCCCCTCTGGACTGGTGGTTCCAGACACATAATGTGGGCACCAAGTGCCCATAGGAAACTCACCGAGGAAGAATTGCCCTGTGATTGAGCCACTGGACTGGGACTCCCGAGCTGTGGGCCCTGTTCCCAGCTCTGTCACACGCTCCCAAGTCAGTATGACATTAGTGGGGAAAGTCACCTTATAGTTCTGTGCCCCAGCTCTGTATCTGTAAATCTAAGGCAGTTATATGTCCTTGAGCTGGTTCTGTCAGTTCTCTAGGGCATGGACCGTCTCTCCCTGTGTGGTTGTGCTGCAGCCATCACAGCAGCCCACAAGGGGAACATTTTTTTGGCTGAAATTTTCAGTGTTTCCATTAAAATTAATCCTTTTCCCTTTCATCAGAAAATTGGAATAAAGAAAGAAGGGGAAGAATAAAATAAAAACAAACTCTAAAAATGGCTTAATCTTTCTTTTTTTTTGGTTTGGTTTTTAATCACTAATTTTCATTTTGTTTTGGTGGGGGAAAAATTCCAACCATCTGAACATTTTTGTGGAAAAGATTTAGATTGTTAAAAAAAAACTGTTGGAAAAAAGAAAAAGCAAAATTTTTCAATGAGAATTTGTCAATATGAGACACAAGTTATATCAGAACAGCAGCTGAGCAGGCTGATGGTATGAAGGGAGGCAAGATTCCTGAGTCTTATTACCACTGGTTCAGTGCAGATCACCTCTCCTGCCTGTGCCTCAGCATCCCCTTCTGTAAAATGGAGATGTTGTTACTGATCTGCTTCCCACAAGAGCTGAGGGGTGGGAACATCACTATCTGACAAATATTTTGAGATCTGTGGGTGGAAGGAGTTTGAGATGGACAGGGGATGTATTGATATATACAAAGATCAGATGTTCATGCAAAGTACCTGGGGTAAATTCTTTGGCTAAGGACTCCAGCTAGTGTGGGTGGTCCAGGGTTTTGTAAAGAGGGGGAGCTCTATGCCACAGACGGAAAAGGGTAGTGAAGGCCGCTGCACTAATGATCAAGGGCCCTTGATGCTATGTGGTAACAGTTTACATGCCTATTAATTAATGCTAAGCTACAGCCTCACAGAAAGCCTCATTGTCCATTTTGGATACTTCGGATAAAGTATCTCCCATTAATATCAATACCAGAGGACATTTTAACTGTCCAATCAATTTTTATTCAGTTCATATTTGCTTTAATAGCACTCGCCTGACATGAATTTATTCAGCTTCTAGTAAAGCATCAGGACTGCCTTGAAGCCCCATTTTGCAACTGTGAAAGACACAGTTAAAGCACAGTCACCTCCTGCCAGGGGATTCTTCAAACTACTCTATTTTTTTTTAGAGGGATGAACTCTATGATGTTTCCCAATGGGTTAGATTCCTGCATCATCTCAAGCTCCTTGTTAGCATCCTCTTTTACAGGACTTTCTCACTCCCCTCAGTCGATGTCCTGCACTCACTGGCTGCATTCTTTTAAGGAAAAGATGGCACATCCCAAATTAACTGCAACACATTTGCTTCCAGTTTTGGGGAAGCCACAGCTGCAGCTCATATGAAGAATGCAGAAGCTTCAGTGAACAAACTCCAGGGAACCCTGCAGGCAGAGAAGACCGTAGCAGGGTGCGGGGCCCAGGGCAAATTGGCCTGTGTGGGGCCCAGACAAGGTGGTGGTTGGGGGAGTGGTGAGCGGTTGGACACAAAGGCGGCCTGGCTCCATGGGCCCCCCCGAAGCGCGGGGCCCAGGAAAGTCACCCCGATTTGACCCCCCACCCAGGGACGGCCCTGCCTGCAGGTAAAACCCTGCTTCACTAACACTGCCTCCTACGAGAAAGTTTCCATTTGCAACCAGATCAGCAAATCCTGCTGGCTGCAAGTGTAATCAAATAATTAAACAGGAGCATCTGGCATCAGAGCTCCTGGGTACATTTCCCATCTTTGACACTGATTTCCTTTGTGACCCTGGGCAAATCCCTTGTGCCCTATACTCATATAAAGAGGAGTCAACACAAGTCCTATGTTTTACTCAAGTCCTGGGTCAAAGGGCTTAACACAACTTGTACTGGTACCCTCACTATACGAACAAATGTTATTTTCAGGAGCTGATTTTCAAAGATGTCAAGCATCCCCACTCATGCTACTGACATCACCTGTGGCTACTCAGGACTCCTCAAGATATCATCCATTAAAATCTAGGCCTCAGACTTCCACATCTGTAAAATGACAATAACAACCTCCATGCCCAGTAGCGGTCTGTGTTGTGGTTGGACAGCCCTGGAGTTGCCTTCTCTTCTCCTCATCAGCAGGTATGTTCTGAGCTTTGAACACTCATTGTTTGTTGCTGGCATCACTGTTCACTTCTAGTGCCTGGATGGGTCTGGCTGATCTGTCATCTCATCTCTAACCTGACTGGAGGGCCGCACCCAGACAGCAGTGGTGGACGGGTCATTTTTGACCTGGAGGGATGTGGGCAGTGGGGTCCCCCAGGGCTCGGTCCTCGGGCCCGCACTGTTAAACATCTTCCTCAGCAACTTGGACGGAGGGGTAAAAAGCACCTTGTTCAAATTCGCAGATGACACTAAGATGTGAGGGGAAGTGGGCACGCTAGAAGGGAGGGACAGGCTGCAATTGGATCTGGACAGGTTGCAGGGGTGGGTGGATGAGAATAAGATGGGGTTCAATACTGACAAGTGCAGGGTACTGCGCCTAGGGAGAAAGAACCAGCAGCATACCTACAGGCTGGGGAACTCCCCTCTCATCAGCACAGAGGCAGAAAAGGATCTTGGAGTCATTATAGACTCCAAGATGAACATGGGCCAACAGTGTGGGGACACAGTCAGGAAGGCTAACCGCACCTTGTCATGAATCCACAGATGCATTATGAGCAGGTCCAAGGAGGTGATCCTCCCCCTCTATGCAACACTGGTCAGGCCGCAGTTGGAGTACTGCGTCCAGTTCTGGGCGCCGCACTTCAGGAGGGATGTGGACAACATGGAGAGGGTCCAGAGGAGGGCCACTTACATGGATAGGGGCAGCAGGGCAGGCCCTACGAGGAGAGGCTACGGGACCTGAATCTGTTCAGGCTTCACAAGAGAAGGCTGAGAGAGGATCTGGTGGCCATCTATAAACTGGCCAAGGGGGACCAGCATGCAATGGGAGAGTCCCTGTTCCCCTGAGCACTACTGGGAGTAACAAGGAATAATGGCCGTAAGTTGACAGAGAGTAGATTCAGGCTAGACATCAGGAAGCGCTACTTCACAGTCAGGGCAGCTAGGGGCTGGAACCAACTTCCAAGGGAAGTGGTGCTTGCTCCTACCCTGGAGGTCTTCAAAAGGAGGCTAGATAGACACTTTGCCGGGGCTGTTTGACCCCAGTACTCTTTCCTGCCATGGCAGGGGGTCGGAGTTGATGACCTGCTCAGGTCCCTTCCGACCCTACCAACTATGAAACTATGAAACCAGGCTGTACCTGAGAGACCACTACAACAAATGTGCCATGTGCCCATCTGGGAGTGGCATTAACCAGCTGCCCCCAAAGAGACCTTTTAAGGCAAGGCATGCTTAGGGTAAGCTGGTTTGCTTCTGTCCTATTTCTAGCTCTTCTTTGTGTATTCCTTGGAAAATGGACCACAAAACTGCTGTCCCTTCCCTGCCTGCTGCTACTGACAAATCACATCTAAAGCTGAGTGAGATCAGGCTCAGTTAATGTCACTTGCTAACTAATTTAATTGCTTTGAACACAGATCTTCACAAAACCCAAGGAAGCAGTTCTCCAGTCATGTGGAGATGTCTACTTCAGAAAGTTCTAGTGTTGTGTACATTACAAATGCCATTTTTTCCTTTTACCTACTTCTGCACATCATACGGACATTATTACGAAACACCTGAGCACCATACACTTTTAGTCTCCCACCTCTCTTGTACACTAATGCAGTGCTATTCTCCCCATTGTACCGATGGGGAAACTGAGGCACAGACATACTAAGCAACAGTCCCGTAGAGAACTGAGTCTCCCAAATCCCTGCCAGCACCTTATCCACTGCACCACTGTTTAGCATCTTTCACCATAACACTACATAGTACCTTACACCTTCCCTTGGCTTTTTAAAGATTCATTTATGCGTCTACATATCATTATTGGGAAGCAGGTCAGCCAGACATATCCCCATGTTACAGATCAGATAACTGATGCACAGAAAGGCAATGGGTTTTCTTTCAGCTCAGATCTGGAAAACGAACCCAAGAGTCCTAGCTCCTAACCCCCCGGATCAAATGTTGAAGACAACACACTTCTCCAAAGACAAAGGTGACTGCAGTTGCAGAAGGGTTTACAGCTGGTTTGCCTCATTGTTCTCTGGATTTTGAAGTAAAACAATGTGAACAGCTCTGAAAAGGCTCCAGGAGTTGAGCCACGCTGCACACAGTCTTTCTAAGGAGCTGGTGTATCTGGCCAGTGCATTCAGCCCACTTGTACTACAAACACTGAATGGCACCTTGTCACGGCATCTCTCTGCTCCACCGAGCAACTCCGTAGAGAAGAGTGTGTTTTTAGCACACAGAGGACTTGGTTAGCACAAATTGGCTCCTTCCACTGGGTAATGCTGAATGGTTCCGACACTTTGAAGCCACCTGAGAATTCCCCTGCTTCTACTTGCAAGACGCACAGTGGCAACTTTCTTTCAACATATACACAGCTGCAGATATTTGAGACAGAAAACCCTGTTAGAGCCTGATCTTCTCTCCCCCAGAGTCTGGCACTGGGCTTTCCCCCCATACACATTCTTCCTCAGCCCAGCCACATGTAACAAAGCACCTTGATAAAAGCAAACGGAGTATGATGTCCTTGTCCCAGTCTGTGATAAACACAGCTCTGCTGAAAGATCCCTGCTGCTTAGATTGTACGTACCAATTCTTACTGCTTGGGAACGTCTGTCAATGAGAAGCATCTGAGACCCAGAGTCCAGCAAGATTAACCAGCATGCCCTGGGATCCTTGTGTTGCTAGCTTCAGAGAGAAGTTGCATGAAACCAGGGAGTAGTTTTTGGGTACAGTCTGAGCGGAGAGTGAAGTTCTCAGCTTTACAGTCGATTCCTATGGACTCAAATTACTTTATTTATCTCTGGATGTTCCTAATGATATAAATAGAGATCTCTGCGTTGAACTTCCTGCCAGTCACCGAGGTCAGAAATGGGAATTCATAGGGAGACAGTATTAGTTTGGATGGTGCCTTTTGTTGTTGTGGTTTTACAAGACACTGTTAGATTTTGGGGATTTGCAACATTGCAATAGCCGGAAAATGCCTTCGGAGCATGAAATATGGCCTCTTTATTACGGTGTTTTGCTTTGAGGGGCGTAAGGGTGCAGAGCTTGGGAAGGATTCAGAGCAAAACATCTGCTGGGTTCATGAGAGCCTAGTGACCTGCCCAGAGAGCAAAAAAGATTCTGCTGTGCAGTAGTAAGCAGCTCTCACTCCATGCTGCTGACGTAGGGATGATTATTATAATGTTCTATGGTTGCAGCAGTAATACAACCAGCACTTGGGTTTGGTGAAAGCAAAGGGCAAGTTCACTGACTGGAGTGGAGCTGCCCTCTGCTTGCACCAAGTCTAAAAGAAATCCAGCATAGCTGGAAAAATGAAATAAAGACCCTACATAAGTCCAGTCTTCTGAACTCGCATTTAAGGCTCACCTGGCAGATGGGATCTCTGATGATCTTCTCAGGACAGACAAGTCAGGAAATGGATGGGAGGAACTAAAGGGGGGACAACAGGCTTTTAACTGAGAAGTAAACCTCATCCACAAGGTGCTGAAAAGGATTTAAAGTCCAACACATGGGCCAAGCTGAAAGCCAAGTCTTGTTGAGCATGATGGCTTGGAAATAGCCCCATTGCTGGGCTATTTCCTTCCACTGCCTGCAATTTCCTCCCTGGATCAATTCCTACCAGTTAATTAAATGAATCCATATTTCCCATGTGGGTTCTTTTCAGTCTTTTGGTCTGCAAGGCGTTCCATGCTGAAATGTGACCAGACTCGGGCCCTGCAGCCTGCACTCCACCCTGAGAACACCAGATACATGCCAGGCTGAACTTGCCCTATGCCATTCTAACCAGCACTTGCTCCTCCTCCATTGGAGACAGCTCCTCTAAAGGTGTCCAGTCATTCCTTGGTCTCTCTGCTGAGCTGAGCAGAGCTGGATCTAGCTGATTAGCCCAAGCTGCAATGCTGCTGTTTCTTTTTAAAGCAGACACATGTCAGATGGAAATGATTTGCGCTATCTACTGACCAGCTTTGGATTCAAACTGGTAATCTTGAGGCGTAACGTTTCCATGGAGCCCAGACAGCTTTATCACAGTTCTCCAGTGTGCTTATAGACACTTATGCCCTACTGTTCTCTCTTGCTACCTATTCCTGGCAGGACTCAGAGCTATTTGCAATCTGCGGCTTTGCAGATCTTTTCTAGAAGCCACAAAGATGCGTCACAAACACACGCTTGTGTCTCAGACTGCTAGAGCTTTGTCTTTTCCCATCCCAGCTGGGTGTGTAATCACTAGTGGCCTCCATGCGCCAGGGCATCTGGTTGAGATGAGCCCACAAGCCTGGACCTCCCTGTAGGAAAGTGGGTGGAATGTTACCTGCTTGTTTTGCACGCTTGGGCAGCATGATCAGATGTTTCCAGTGAGCATGAGACAAATGTATGTTCAACACCAGTCTGACCACAGAACACAGGCTCTATGGGCAGAGGTGTAACTGGCCAGTTCTGTGTCCTGGGCTGCAGTGCTACATGGTGCAGGGGCAGCAGCTGGACGTTCACTGCTGCAGGGGGCAGATGTCACCTCCTTTTTTTGCTGCCAACAAGTATGTTGAGCAACCATACAAACACCAATGTTCAAGGGCAAAAAAGCAGGTGACAAGTTAACCTTCTCTGACACCACTCTCACTCCCCGCCCCCCTCATAGCACCCTGCTTCTGCCACCCAGACATCGCCAGCCCCATCACTGCTGCTCTTCCCTGCTTGCTGCTGGAGCCAAAGCTGCTGCAGGGCGCAGGGGAAGTGGGAGGGGAAGATGCATGCCCCCCCCCCAGGCTCCATGCCAACACCCTGACTCCCTAGGTAGTGCCCAGGGTGGATGCTCTGCTCACCCAACCATTGCTTGCCTCTTTAGGAAGTGCCCAGGGTGGATGCTCCGCTCACCCAACCATTGTTATGCTTCTGCTTCTGGGACGTTGGAAGGACAGCCAAGTGGCATAAATAATCATGAGTGGTTCAAGTTAGCTGCTGGCTCTGACAGCTAAAAAAGGGAACACAGGCAAAGAATGGCTGTGTTAATGGCATTACAGAACAGCATCCTCTGCTGTAATCCTGCACATTATTATAGGGGGAGAGATGGGCTCAATCTGGGGTTTCAAAAGAGCCCAGTGGAGTTTGGTGTGTGACTTCCATTCAAAGACAAGGGGAAAGGGGAGCCAGGTGTTTCTGAAAATCTCCCCTTTAATAGACAGCACTCCTAATTGGTGCTTTTTTAACACATCTGGGCCCCTACCTCAAAACACCTTGCATTTCACTCAGGTAGAAAGCTCTTTCCCCAGGATCCTGCAGATGTTCACACCTCTTGTCCTACTCCAAGTACCTGGATCCTGTAGCCCTTCACACCCATTGTCCTGCTTCAAACTGTGAAGCGTGTTGGATGAAATGGGCTAACACTCCCCCACCAAGCACACACAATGCTGTGGTCTGTAAGCTAATCGTGGCTCATTTAACTCAATTGCGATTCATTCCAGGGACAAGCCTGCCTGGTTGTGTGCTCTCCCTGGCCACCTACTGGCAGAAGAGCAGCAATTGACTTGGGAGGACTATGTGTAAACAGCTGTGCTGCTCCTGTTTTGATCCCAGTCAAAACTTGGGGCAATCAGTTCCCAGTCAAAGGAGACATCTGTTTGCAGCCAAAGCTGTCTGGAAAAGGGAAGTCAGCATCACAGCCCCCATTTCACAGAGGGGCCAACAAGGCACTAAGACATTCAAAGCAGGCCTACACTTTTAAGCCCTGAGCTCCTGGGCAAGTGAAGGTTTTGATGATGAAGTTCAGGTAGCCAATGCTGAAAAGATTGGCCTAGGTGACTTGCCAAAGTTCACTTGGCAAAGCCAGTGGCATGGCAGAGGCGGTGGGAGAAAGACTTGTCAGGTTGGCAAGTCAGGGCAGCAGCTCCACAGGAGGATGCAAAACTGGGCTTGTGTCTCTCTAACTGCCCCTCCAGGCTCTGAAATGACCTCCTAGCACAAGCATCTGTTCACATGATATATTCCCAAGGAACCCACTGTTCATTGGTGCAGATATCTCCCAAGACAGCAGGGTAGTAAATTGCCACCTCCTATGGAAAAGTCCCACTCAGACCAAAAATGGATTTTATTTTGGTCAAAATTTTTAATTAAAAATATTTATTTTCCCTGTAAAACCTGCAAACTCTGGTGGGGGTTGTTTTTTTTTTGGGGGGGTGGGGGGTGGAGGTTGTTTGTTTGTTATTTTTTTTAGGAAGGGGGTCTCAAAAAGCAAAGAATCCCTGCTAGTCCACTAGTTAGAAAAAACAGCTTCTAGCAGAAACAAAAAAATTGCAATGGAAGTTTATTTTTCTTTTCCAACCAGTTCTATTTACTTCCCTGGCCACAGTAAGAAGCTTCTGATATACTCTGATGGTTGATCAGGGAGGTAGGGGGAAAAAGGAAAAAGCATGATATTAAGTACTTGAGACACTATTTGATATCTCTTATTATATCACAGCACAGCACATACCTTAAGACTTTGGCTTGTCTTCAGAATGACCTTGAAGTTAGCAAACTACCAGGAGAAATTTCACAGTGAGTACAGAAGGCCTGATTACTCACCTTACCATATGTGGCAGGTGGCAGACGCCTTATATCTTTAGACACTCACACTCTCTCCCTCTTTTTTTTGTTTCAACTAATAAACTGCCCTCCAAAGCAACTTTATTACTATTGATTCTGGGAGTGAAATCCAATTGATCTTGGTTGAAATGAAGCATCTTTTTAATTCTGGAGCATAATAGTGATAAATGGAGTAGGAATTCACCTTTCAGGATTGATCTTGGACACTCCCTTGTTTCAAATAGGATTCCTGTCTCCTGATCAAGTTCAGGGCTTTTTGCAACATACACACCTAAAGCACTCTCACCCTGGTCTTGCAAACAGGCTTTACTTCAAGCTCAGAGTGGTGCATGCAGGCTCAACACACTCATTTGTATTGGTCAAAGAGCATGCTAGCAAACTAGAAAACTGCCTGGTCTGGGCACTGGGAGCCATACGCCTTTGTCTGGTACCTAACAAGACAGGGGCTTCTCTATCAATAGGGTCTGACTGCAGGAGAGTGGGGCCACAATAGAGTAAATGTCCAGGATCAACTTAAGAGAGAATTTTTGGGGTGATGACATTTATAAAGCAGCACGGTGCAGTAGGTAGGGCTTTGGATGGGGTCTAGGCGATATGAGTGCTTGCCCCAGGCTCTACCAACAATCTGCCTTGTGACCCCGAGCAAGTCATGCTGCCTCTCTTGCCCTTCCCCTCCCTTGAGTAATGTTTTGTAGTGTAGCTTCCTGCTGTGATAGATAGTCTGGAGGTACTTTCATTCTGGTACCCAGGTATTTGCAGCTGCTCTTGCTCCTTAGTCGGGTGGTAGGACCTCCCTGTTGCTCTTTTGGGAATGTGGTGTCAGGATTCCCCTGATGTCCTGAGTGAAACCCATAGCTACATCTCTATGTGCTCTGTGGGCACTACTGGACTCTTTGGAAAATTTGGCCCAAACCATATAGGCTGAGCCCTCTTGGGGCACAAATCCTGGCAGGAACTGACCATTATCATTCTTATTCAAAGCCAAGTGGAGGTGAGGATGCTTTGTGTCTCCCAGAATCAGCCCTGTCTGCATCTGCACTGCATTCTCCTGGACCACGGGATATCTCCCTGCCCACTAACTGCTCTCTGGCCAGCTGGCTGCCTTCAGTTATTACCTCTGTTTTCTGATTATTCCTTTCCTTTCCTA